ACTGTCTCATTTTAATTAATATGATGCCTTACTCCTTATTTTTTAATTATTTTCTTCATTATTTTGAAACTAATTTTGTTTCTAAGGACTGGGAACAAGGTGGGTGGATGTGATCATCTCACACATGTTCTTGTCTTTTTTCCTTTTATTTTCCCTCTGTTGCTGGGATAGAGAGGATGAAGAAAGAAAAAATGTATTTGTTAAAGGAATTATCTGTATTGAGGTTGCTCTAGGATTACTGTGCTAGAGGAATGACTTCCAGTAAATTCCACCATTAAGAGGCTCAATATCAACCGACAATCCTGTGAACTAGTGGCACCTTATGGAATTCTAATGTATCTTTTAGTTAATGTCCAGGTGGTAGCCTCTTGTCTTACATCTTGATGTGCATACCTCTCTTCTTCACATGTTGCAGTGTTCTTTATTTTATAATTTATAATTAGAAGCACAAACTCTGAGATTTATGGATCCAGGCAGGATTGATCTCACCTACAATACTGGGCAAGATCTTCAAGGGGACAGCTCATGCTTTCTTGTTAACTGCCCAGTCCACCACCACATTTCTCTCCAATGTTCTCTCCCCTGTTTTAGTTGTACTGACTCAAATCTAAGTAGTTATTCGATTAGAGTATTGAATGGTGATCTTCCCTTTTTGGGTGAATTTCTCTTGGATTTTCTTCTCTCAATCTTAGCCAGACTTTTTCTATAATAACACTTGACTAGCAAAAATTTCAACCTCATCTATTTATAAAATAATGTTATCTAGTACTATTTGAGACCTCTCTTACTTGGATTTTTTTAGAGTATTGTACTCAGAATCAGGAACTTTTTGAGATAAAATCTGAGAAATTAATAACTTTTGCTCAACTGTGCTTTATTCAGGTTTTTATCTGTATTCTATTCTATAATCTCTAAATGAGGAAAATAGTCAATTCATATTTCTCTAAAGTGTTTCTTCATAAGAGCCTTAAAACAAATGTATATATTTTTAAACATTAGTACATTTACCCCAATATAACATCACAAAATTAACCTTTGGAAAATACAGAACTAATGTAATACAAAACATTTACATCCTTCCCAAAACAGGTAAAATAAATATAATAGTTGTCTACAGCCTAATCTAAAAGAATGTGATGTAGTGGATAGGGTCCTGAGTTTTTAATCAAAACGAGAATAACTAATGTGACTCATAAACCTTTCTGTTTCTGAGTCTCATTCTTTTCATTTTCCTGATGATAACGATAGTAAGATCCACCTGTTTGTTTGGGCAGGTTAATGACCAAGTGAAATGATGCATTATACATTTGTCAAAGAAATATAGCCTCTTAAAAGAAAGTTAACGCAGCTGATGTTCAGTAACATATCTCGGTTTGTAAGTAAAAAATTAGAAATAAACTGAAATAAACGATCAATACATCTTATGGTAAAAACAAGTAATAATTTGAATTAAGATAACTTGTTGAACACTGATTTATCAAACTCTATGAACTAGCCCATTTTTAAAATTTATACTTTGTTTGTTATTAGAAAAACATTTCCCTAGATAGAAGCTGCTCCATTATTCTGAAGGGAAGTACAAATGATGAAAAGCAGAGCTGGAGATGATCCATGATGGACATACAGTGTGAGTAAGAAATATATATTATTGGTTTTAAATCACTGAGATTTTGAGCTTGTGTATGTATCCCTAATATGAGCTAACTATCCTTAATGATACCATAAGCAAAGAATTTAAAGTAAATAAACAGTGCATGACCCCGTATTAAGTGCCACACTAAGTGTTAATTACATCTCCCTGGAGGTAAACAGGGGACTGGTTCCAGGATGTCTGAGTATATAAAAACTCCACACATTCTGAAGTCCCACAGTGGGTCTTATGGAACCCTTTGTATACAAAAGATTGGCTCTCCAAATAGGCAGGATTTATATTATATTTCTCAAAAAATCTGCATATAAGTGGATCTGTGCATTTCAAACTTGGGTTGTTCAAGGGTCAACTGTGTTACTATTTTATGGGATGAGACGGCAGAGATGACACATGGAAACTTTATGTCTAAAAAAGGGGAAATATGCAAATGGTGGTGGGGTGGGCCAAATGGAATGTGAGTTACATGAAAAGGTAATTTGGAAGGAAATAATGCTTTTGTGAAGAAGAGAAATACTTGAATATTTGAGTATAAAACATAGTTTTATTTAGTACCCTTGCCTCTCTTTAGTATGATAAAAATACATAAAAAATTCAGAGAGACAAAGAGGGAGGAAGCTGCTTGAGTGAACATACTCTGGTGATGTAAATACTTGAGGGAATTATCTCTGGATCGGGTGGTGTGCTGATGAATGCTTAACAAAAAAACTTTGAAGTGAACGACACTGATTCGTTGCATTTGATGATTTCTGTGGCGTAAGTATGCCCACCATAGCAATGTTTAGCTGGTAACAAGACATTACTGCACACAGAGTCAGGAAAAGGTGCACATGACTGGCTCTCATGATTTCGCCGTGGTCTGGCTCCAGCATTTGACTGTGACAAGTTTCACTGGCCGGTCAGAACTCTGGAGGAAAAACATCTACCTATAACTAACCCTGATCAGCATAACAGGTTTGAGAAAGCCCTAGTAATATTTTCCTCAGGTGAACGCCATCAATACAGCCGTCAGGCAAAACAGCATTCATGCACTGAGGAAAATCACTGCTTCTCGAACAACTTTTAGATACCATAAAAGGCCCATTCTTAAAAGCAGAAGTGGGAAGGGGGGAAACAAGAATTGTTGTCTGAAAAGAAATCACTTAGATCTCCATCAAAACAGATTAGTTTGAAGCCAATTTGCTGCTATCTTCAAAACTATATTTCCTCACAAATTCTGTCTTCCAAATTGAGCAGTGAGTCAGCAGTAGGTAGTGCTAGAGTGTGAAAAGGATGAGGATAGAGGCAGCCAGGGTACCTCTAATGCATCTTCTTATTAGAAGACTTTTGAAGAGTAATTTGATGGAAGCTTTTCAACTTTTAGGTCAGTAGCTTAAATGCAGTCTCAGTTGATCATGAACAAAAGTGGGTGGTTAGTGGCCTGTGAAAAGTACCTTCCTGGTATCACCCTTGTTCTTTCTAATAGAGACTGCCACTACAGTTGGCATCCTTTCTTTTCCTTCTACCAGAAGCACAAAGGGTGAATAGAAATGTCATTTCAAGTGTTTTTTCAGCCTTTGTACCAGAGAAATTTGAAATATGAAAGAGGCCAACTTCTTTTCATCTTTAACTCACAGGGAGAATTATTGAACTATAACATGTTTCCTAGATCTTCCTGGATTTTATTAAAATGAAACCTGAGCCACTTTACAAGTAAAATTATGTCTTACTTCATAGGAAGTTAAATTACACAAAGGCATATACTTGAGAAATATTTAAATATAAAATGTATAATTTCTTGACCTGAATCTTACACATGTAAGATTTATTTTATTTTCCTTTTCTTTCTCTTATTTTATTCTTGCTTCAATAAATGAATTCCCATGAATGTAAAGACAAAGATCTTATTATTCCATTAAATGAACATGTCTTAATATTTGTTTTTTTCTATTCTTTATCATTACAATAATTTGACTTTTTTTCTCCTAAAGAGACTGTAGGTTTTATTCTCTTTCTTTTAATTATTTCACTAAAATCCTCCAAATTTCCATATTACTAATATCTCTACCTTCATATCATTTTGTTTCAATATTAAATGATCAATTAAAGCAAACTCTCTCTAAGTACCTGGAGAAAAGCAACAGAATATATATTAGAGTTGAGACCCAAAGAACTACTTGGTAATGCCAAGAAAATTTCAGTAGCTATTAGTAATCAGTAGGATATCACAGAAATCGCCGTTTTAGAAGTGATGAAAACTCAATCAACTGATTTTAAGCATCAATTACTTTCTATGGGATTAGCTTTCCACATCTCAAAAATAAGATTGATGTGTTCTGTTATTTTTGCATCATTTTCAATACAAGCATTCTATGAAATCTTCACTTTTATATCACCCAGATTTAAGTGAGAGGGTGTTAATATTCAAATGGGATTTGAGCAAGATGTAATTGTGCCTTATGTCATGTCAGCTGATGATAAAGATTGATGCTGGAATTTTCCTGGGTCAGTCATGTTAAAATCTCCCCTAGGCTTCAAGGCCAGCTTCATGAATTCTCATATCAGCGACTTCTGCAATTCCCATGTAACACCAGAAGATAAACTCTGTTCTCTGAACATTCATGTATAAAACAATGCATCATCTTATGATTCTTATGATTGGCATAGCAAAGTGAAAATATATCAACACCATATTTAGCCCAACTTGAAGCTGCATATTCAAAGATAGAGCTTTTCCTGGCCAAAGATACTTTGGTCAGAAATATATAAACAGTGAACACCAAGCTATCATCTTGCAAGTAATATATATGCTCATGAATCTCTAGCTACAAATAAAAATATCAGCTAAAACTACCCCCTTCTCGTAAATGAATAAAAAACAACAATTACAAGATTTGCCTATGGCCATGAAATGAAGTGGGGCTTGTCTCAGAATTAAAATGCCTACCATCAGCCTTTGAGTACAAAGTTAATTCCCCTATACAAGACTGCAGCAAAAGTAAATCCAGCTGGAGAAAAGGCATACAAGACAGAAAATAATAGTCAGCTGCAGTCTCTTTGGATCCAAAGTACAAAATATTCAAGTACGTGTTTCCAATCCCTTCATTCTCTCCTGTAATGATTGCAGCTAATCCCTACCAGCCAAATGTTAGTTCTTCAACTGTGGTGATCAATAGAATAGATTAGCTGTGGAAACCCTCCATCCATATTACCCTTGCTTTCCTTTCCAGATGGAACTTTCATTCACTAGAGTGGAGGCAAGCACATGAGGTTTTTCCCTCCATACACAAATATAAACTCATTAAATGCCAAGCTTGTCACTTTAGAATTTACAGGCGCACACACACACACACACACACACCAAGGAACATACCTGTAGATTTAATAAAACAGCACCAACCCTCATGGCTTCACTAATTTCAAGGCTATACATCAGCTGTGGGAAGCGAGGAGGGCTTTGATTATTTGGTGGAAGCACTTCAATGTACACAGTACAGATGGAGTGCCTGCAGAGAAAGAGAGGCAAACAAGATGGTTACGGATCTGCATCACATTTAATGTTAGACTGCATTGTTTATTCACTTGTTGGGTTTACTGGAGAAAAAATTTCCAAATTTCATGAAAAATAGTAAAGTCAAAATGAAAGGATAGAAAAATAAAACTACCACCAAAGTATAATGGTGCTATGAAATTATCTCAGTAAAAGAAAAGTAATTGCCTCCAGTATCTGTTTTTCCTACTTAGATTAATAGTGTGAATTAAAATGGAATAGCTATATAAATAAAGCTAATAAATTAATTTGCCTCGACTTCTGACTTTGTTTTTAATGCTTCTCTAATAGCAAAATCATTCTATAAACATCTGGTAATAAGAGCTGTCCTTGGGGCTTTTTTCCTGTTAAACCAGCAGAGGGAGTATTGATTAAAATATCACACACACAAAATCACGGACTGTGTTTTACCCATTCTGTTGCTGACGTCAATGGCTTACAGTACGTGTATCTCAGGAGTCAGGATCTCAAGGAATCCTATGTAAAATAGTTGCAAACAAAACTAAATATGTTTTAAAATCTTCTCTAAAAAGCAAAATATGATAAGCTAGGAATCAGACTTAATAAAGCCCTTATATAACAGGAGCTTTTCTTAAAGGACAAGATATCTTATCATTACAAGGAAAAAAAATTAGCATTGACAGAGTCAACTTTTTTGATATCTCTGAACTTTGAAATTTTTATAAAACAAAAGCTGAAGAAGCATGTTAGTCAAGGTTTGTAAGGTGGAAACATTGGCTGAAATATATCAATGAAACCTGAAAATATATAAGGTTAGCCCTCTATTGTGAAAAAAATGTATGTGTGCATACACACACACACACATATATACACAATATATACATATACATATATACACACAATATATACATATACATATATACACACACGCATACATACATTTTGTACAAACATACCACCACTGCCTAAGATGTATGCTTTGAATTTATTTTAACAAAGTCATGATTTAGTTCAAAACACATTTGTTATAATTTCTATTTGGGGAGGAGAATATTTATTTATTTATTTATTTATTTATTTATTTATTTGAGATGGAGAGTCACTCTGCAGGCCAGGCTGGAGTGCAGTGGCATGATCTCTGCTCATTGCAACCCCCACCTCCCGGGTTCAAGTGATTCTCCTGCCTCAACCTCCCAAGTAGCTGGGATTACAGGCCTGTGTCACCATATCTGGCTAATTTTTGTATTTTTAGTAGAGATGGGGTTTTGCCATGTTGGCCAGGCTGGTCTCGAACTCCTGACCTAAGGTGATCCACCTACCTCAGCCTCCCAAACTGCTGGGATAACAGCCCTGAGCACCGCGCCTAGCCTAGAAACTTCTTAAAGTAGTCCCAAACTCTTTATGATATGCTTCAATTAAAAGACATGGTCACCAAAAATATTTATCTGAGTTTATTAACTAAACCATTCTACTTTTCAAAACCTTTTAAAAGAAATTCAGCCCGGGCGCTGTGGCTGACTCCTGTAATCCCAGCCCTTTGGGAAGCAGGTGGATCACAAGGTCAGGAGATGGAGAGCATCCTGGCTAACACAGTGAAACCCCGTCTCTACCAAAAAAAAAAAAAAAAAAGAAAGAAAACGAAATTCAGAACATGGGCGCTAAAATTTCGTTTTATAGCTTGTCACTTTATAATATACCTAAATTCAAGTTGTTTTTGAGCATATCATCAGTAGATAGATAACAACAGAATAGTAAGCAAAAAAGCTACCGTGACTTTAAAAAATTTCATGGTCGGGCGTGGTGGCTCACGCCTGTAATCTCAGCACTTTGTGAGGCCAAGGCGGGCGGATAACGAGGTCAGAAGTTCAAGACCAGCATGACTAACATGGTGAAACCCCGTCTCTACTAAAAAACACAAAAATTAGCTGGTTGTGGTGGCCTGTAATCCCAGCTACTCAGGAGGCTGAGGCGGGAGGGAGAATTGCTTGAACCCGGGAGGTGGAGGTTGCAGTGACTCCAGATCACGCTATTGCACTCCAGCCTGGGCGACCAGGAGAAACTCTGAATCAAACAAACAAACAAACAAACAAAAAACCCTCATACATACATTTATCATGATATTGTTCTAAAGTAATCTCACTTTAAATTGAAATATTTTAAACTTTTGTAATTAGTTAAAATATCTGTATTCATTTCTGTCTCTGATTTTATCTATTTAGTATCAAAATTTGCCAATAAAATTAATCAGATATTTCTTAAATGGATTCAAACAGATGATGAAATGTTGCTTATATAATTATAATTATTAATGTGAACACGAAACAATGGGAAGTTACAAAATTTATAGTATACTGCAAAGATTCCCACTTCCCATGTTGTGAGAACAAAGGAATTGTCATTCTGAGGTAGACCTAACATCCTGCCAGGTGGTGCTCTGACCCCAGAAGCAGCCCCAAGATGTAAAACATTTTCCCTGATATTACCCTTGAAGATCTTGGCTTATTTTAGCGTCTGTTGTTGATCAAGTTTTTAAAACATTTTATGAATCTCTTCTCTTTCTTTTCTGTGATAGTACATTCTCTAGGCATAACAAGTCCTACAACACTATTAGTAATAACAGTAGGTGAGTGATGTTGAACACAGAATTTGTAACCAGATATTCCTGAGTTAGAATTTTGGTGCTGCCCTCAGTGATCTAGAGCAAATCACTTCTTTCAGTTTCATTATCTCCACATAATAAATGTAAATAATAATAACATCTAAGGTCATGATAAAGATTAAATAAGTTTATATATTTGTATATATAAGTACATGTATATATATATGAAACATACTTTTATAATTTATTATTAATAAATTACTCAAAATAAGGCTTAAGGTTACTTATTCTACTTTATGAATAGTGGAAACAACCTTGCATTTTCCTTAGTGACATCCTTTATAATACTGTAGATATTTTAATTGAATCCTTTCACTTGGCTAAATTCCAACAAAGGCACGATACTCCTTCACCCCTCCCCAGCATGGGGTATGTTGGTGTTAGAATTTGAGCATGTTGTTTCATAATCTTTGGGGTAGGATACAAGAATCTACAATTTTTACAAATTTCCAAGGTTCTACTTATAGAAACTAGAATTTGAAGACCACTGCTTCAGAATCTCATGAAAAATACAATACGTAGACTCACCTGTTTTTTTTAATTACCTCAGGAGAAAACTCTATAAACTCACCTAACATCTTCAATAACCCTGGATCCAAGAGACTTCCTCAATGTTTAACTATTTTTTTTGACCTGGAACATATCTGTACTGCAGATTCGAAGCTTTCTTTCAAAAGCTAGGCCCCTTTCTGCTTCTGATATGCTTTGGATCTTCAGTTTACTGGTCAAGAATACTTTATAGAGGTTTTACGAGAATATCAGTGTCTTAAGGCTTCTGAAAGCATAAACTACACTTATACTTTTTTATTTCTTTATTCCTTTCCCTTTCATTATCTTCCCATTTTTGAGGGCTAAAGTGTGACAAGACTACAATAAGGACCTTAAACTCGTATGAGGCACTTGGATATTTGTCACAGAGAAGAAAACTTTAAAATGCTGAAACAAAGAGAACTCTAGACCCAGACAGAACACAGAGACAAATTTTAGCCCAACAGGACCATCTCCTTGATCTGTCCTTACTCCTTTGCTTCCTCTGTTCTTTTCCACAATAATTCAAAAGCTAGAATTGCTAATTATGTTTTTTTCCCTTATTGGACGTGAATCTTAGTTATTTGGAGGAGATCATATCTTAAGGTCTTGCATTTTTCATCTGCAACATCCTGGCACATCCCTACAATGTGTTTAAATAAGCACCAGGCTTCTTGCGGGTTATTGCCTTTTAAAATGCTATCTCCTTTTTATCCCTGATGTCAGCACAGTGTCAGACTTAGCTTTCATAAAATTGAATACCAATAGTATTAACAATAAAATAATACATTTGTGCTGTAATAAATAGTAGTAATTCAACAGCATCATTTAAGCACTTACTAAAATAGGGCAGTCACTATATAAATAAAAATACTTTATGCAAGCATTTTGTATTCACATTTTATAGCTAGTACTAAATGCATAACACTGAGCATATATGAGAGACAAATTTTATTTTTGTAATATAGCCAGAATGATGTAGATAAATCTCCATTTCTAAAAACGAACATCATAAAGCTTTATTATATTTCATCTGGTAATAAAGGTCAAAGTAGAACAAAAGAGGTAATATATTTCTTATATACTCTTGAAACCTACCCAATAGTCCCATAAATAGTTTTTTGTTTTTTGTTTTTTGATAAACATAGAAATTGACCCATCTGATCTTAAAGCTTGAAACTTACATTTGTTTTATCTGAGCTCCTTTCTCAGGAAACAACCTTCAGGCCTCCCAGAAAAAAGTATCAAAGAACTGAAACTCACCAGATCACCATATCCAATGTCACACCCCTCAATCGTCACACCCCTCAATCATCATGATTGTTTCCTTGCCCCTCCCTAGCTCCTGTTTTCTTACACATTAACATTTCTTCCCTGCTATGTAAACACTAATTTTAGTCAGTCAGTGAGTTGAATTTGAGATTGTTACCCATTTCCTCAGCTACAGCACTGGATTAAAATCTTCTTCTTTGACAACAATTACTGTTTCAGTGATTGGCTTTTTGTATTACCAGCAGCATAATCTAAACTGAACCCCTAGTGTTCCTGTGACAGATTTTGGTTACCTGACAGGAACACATTGCTTGTGTCTTGGTGGCCTTGAGCTGAGTTGGCCTCCTAAGCAGTTGCCCACCTGATTTTCACTGGAGGTGTTTCCGTTTCTTTCTGGCCTAACAGCAGCTACCCCCAACTACATTCCTGATTGTCTAGTCAGAACAGCATTTGAAATTTGACATCTGCATCCAGATAGATGAGTGTCAGTTCCTTTGTGGTCCTGGACAGCAGGATCCCCTCCTCTCAGTTTGAGAATTTTTTAAAGAAATTTTTATTTGTAGGTTGAACAAGCCCAAATGACTGAGAGTGGGAAGCACCCTGTGTTCGTATGGACACTTTTTGGGGATTTCAGTATGAACGCTCTTGGGAGTTTGTTTGTAATTGTGGTGTGTGTGTATGTGTAAGCAAGTGTGTATCTTTTGTGGGTACCAGACAGTGGGATTGGCTCCTCTCAATTTGAGAAATTCCTAAGAAATGTTCGTTTGTGGGTTGATCAAGCTCAACCAATAGAAAGAAGAAGCACCCCAACTGTTTCAGTTTGGACACTCTTAGGGCTCGTTTGTTGTTTCAGCTGTTGGATTGTGTTGGTGATTGCGCGTGTTTGATATAGTCAGAGGAAACTAGAATTCAGTAAACTAACTTTCTTTAAACACGGTTTGACTCCAGTATTCTTTGGAATCTGGAGTTTGTTATTGAATGGGAAAGAGTGACAGAGTTCCATGTATCCAGGCTTTTGCACTATTGCTCTAACCACAGTTGGGCCTGGTCAGTATGTGATGTTCTCTTGTGTCTCTTGTGGTGCTGATTGCTCCCAGTGTTCTTTGGAGTCTGGGGAGGTTTAGCCTTTAAAAATCAAACTGCCATGAAAACTGTTCTACCCAAAATTTTGATTCACAGCCTTCACTGGATTACCTATTGGGGTAAAGAAAGTGTGGCTATGTAAACCAGTGACTTTGTATTGTTATATCACGGCTAGAGTTCTGAGGTAAAATGGATTGGATTTTTATGTGTGTTTATATGTGCCTTAATGTGTTTATGTTCATATATTATGGGTCTTTTTTTTTCTTTTTTGTCTACGAATTTGGTTTATAAATAAAAGAGTACACATAAAATAAGTAAGCCCAAAGTATTTTTCAAGTTCAAATGACTTAAGTAAACCACAATAAACAAGCTGACTTTAAAATTTTTGATAAAATAAAAAAAGAAATGTCTTTAGAATTGTCAGCATACATTTTTGCCTGGGTTTTATATATGACTCTGCTATATATAATTGAGGTGTCATGGTTTGGCATAGAAGGTTATAAAACTATAAACCCAGATAAAATAAAATGATCTTGGTTTGTGTACCTTCTTTGACAAATGAGACTAATTGCATGTTCTTAGCTGATTCTTGTGAGTTACTGGCAAAAATACCTATATATTTAATTTTAAGATTTAGTTGAGGACTTGACATTCACCAGCTATTAAAAAAAAAAAAAAAAAAAAGCATAGTGAACAAGGAAACAGCTAACTTTAAATGATGGTGTCTAAATATTTCAGTTTTCAGAGTAATCTAGATAAACTATTAAAATGAAAGAATCAAGTACTTGTAAATTGAATAAATGTTGTAGGTAAACTTTTTGTGTAATTCAAAAATTTTAAATTGTTTTTGATGCTCATTGGGTGTCTGGGTCATTTCCAATTAAGAAAAAGTTATGGGGAAACATATTTCTAAAAACTGTGGAATGGATCTCATCTGTAAAATGCTAATATCTGATAGACCAGAAATTCTTGCTTCTCAGGTGTTCACTAAAACTTTGTTCTCTAAACTTTAAGGCTACTAAGGATAAGAATTCTAAAGAAGATGTGTTTTTATTGAGAACAAATCATTTTGTCTAATTCAGAAGTTATCTAAATGTTAATTCAAATTATGGGCTTGAAATGGTTACTTATGAAACAAGGTAGAAGAAAACCAGTAAGTAGAAGAAAAAGAGATGTGAAAAAAGTTACAGATATGAAAATACATTTTTGGTAAGGAAGTTGATAATGAAAAAAAAAGTTTTATAACAAAAGCTTTTGTCTGATGAATGTTTGTCCTAAATTAAAATAACTGGTTATTGAAAATAGAAAAGAAAGTAAATCTAGGACAAAACAGAAAGTCCAGGCATATCATGGATGGTCTGTGTAAGTCACATGCCACTTTTCTTGTTTCTCTGTGTGTCTACCTTCATGCCTATGCAAAGAAAATACAAAGTTGTAAAAGCTTAGATAATAAAATATCCTTTGAAACTTGATAAAAATTGGAATACTTTGGCTAATTAACATTGTTCATAGTTAAAGCTTGTATCTTAATGAAAGTAAAATATAAATTATTGTAAAGAAATACATTAGCAGTTTGGCAATTTTTAAAATATAGTTAAGTCCAAAGCTGAATGTAACATGGAGCCAAATTTCATAGTATATTTGCTATTCTGCATCACGTTCCTGAAGTGAATTTCTTAATTACAGAAAATATATAATGGTACTGCTGGACTTAAAGCCAGTAAATGTCAGAAAACTGAATCAGGAATAAAATATTCATCAGGTGAATTTTTTTTTGGCTCTGGGTAACACTGTAACCCGAGGTAAATTAAGTAGAAGAAAAATTGAGGGTTGGAATACTGTTTATTTTTACTTCTTTTCTTTTTTCATGAGACAGAATCTTGCTCTGTTGCCAGGCTGAAGTGCAGTGGCAAGATCTCGGCTAACTGCAAACGCTGCCTCCTGGGTTCAAGTGATTCCCCTGCCCCAGCCTCAGTCCTCAGCTGGGACTACAGGTGCTGCCACCACACCTGGCTAATTTTTTGTATTTTAGTAGAGATGGGGTTTCACTGTGTTGGCCATGATGGTCTCAATCTCCTGATCTCGTGATCCCCTCTTCTCCGCCTCCCCAGGTGTTGGGATTACAGGAGTGAGCCACTGCGCCCGGCCTATTTTTGCTTCTAATTTTCATTTACTTGCTGTTTGTTCTACTTATACATACAAATATATACACATATACACATATATACACATATACACATATTTATATTTATACATATACACATATGTATACATACACATATATATATTTGTATACATATACATATATATAAAACTATTGATGGTTTTTAGTTTCTAATGGAAAGCTTTTATTTGGTTCTATGAATGGTCATTTTGTTTTCTATGTATCCCCAGCAATTTATCATTTGCTCTATTTATTGAAAGTTCCTAAACTACCTTTGTCAAGCTTCAAAACATTGATGAAGGACAGCAGCCATTTAAATCTGACTGTTTTTCTTACCTCTGATTATATTGCTAGCTATGATAACTTTAAGGTTCCTGGCAAAAATCACATAAAAGACTTATTTTTATAAGTTCTAAACAAAAATAGTACATTACATATTTTCTCATTTGGAAAAGTAGATGAGAATAGAAGTGTTTAAATGATGTTTATTTCCAAGGTAATTCAATTCAATCAATAATTTGAGTTAGTTCAGATCCTTTCCTTTAATGAAGAAAAACTGTGATATGGGTTCAAAGTTTTAATGTTCAGGAAAGACTAGGCTTTTCTTTAAGGAAATTTTTAATTGATTGGAATTTCTCTCAAACTACTAGTTTTGTTTATCATTATTAACATTAAGTGACACTCAACTGAATTAAGCAGTAATTACTTTAAAAGTGTGATACTTTGTTGTAATTTTTGATCCAAATCCATTTATCTCTGATGGGCATTCATATGGTACTTGAAAACAAAGTATGTACTAGTGTTGCACTGGTTTGAAGACTTCAGTGGTGAAAGTTACTTAATTAGTTGTAAGTACTGTATCCAGAAGTGAATCTTAGAAATGTGTAATGATGGTCTTTTAAATAGCTAAAGAGAAATTATTGTGTGGTTTTCACTTTGTCCTTGCTTTGTTGTGTAGTATTTAAGTGAAATGACATTTCTTATCTTTATTCTGAATTTCCAAAACTGATATTTGCATTTGCCATTTTTCAATAATGGAGAAAAACCAACGACATTAGTTGCCTTACTTTGAAAAGTTTGGCAAAGGACATATCAAAACTTTGATGCTTTTGGTCACAGTTCTGTCCCTGAAATGCTAACAATTAGAAATATGGAATGAGTAACCTAACTACTTTAACACAGTGGTTAGAAGTGCTGTAAGTAGTATCTGTTAAACTCCAAACCACTGTGTTTTAATTTGTGACATATTAGAATAATAGACTTTCTGTAGTATAAATATCCTATTAACTAATCCTTGTGCTGTTAACTTACAGGTCTTTGAATCCTGGGTCTGAAGAAAGCACTGACTTCTGTTAAATTTTGAGCACTGATACTAGTCAAAGTCTCATCTTCAGACACAGGAGAAGGTGACAATCAAAATGAACTGCTTTCACGAGACACAGGGCCAGAAATTAAAACTGTTCAATCCCTGTAGACCCAGGAACTATTGTGGAAGCTGTGGGTGTGTGAGATGGTAAGGGGCAATTTTGAGGGATAAACTTAGTTCAGAGTTTCTGTAAATTAAACATTAATATCAAAAGCACAATCATGCAAGGCCAGTGTCTGGGCCTATGTGTCAGAATAACAGGGTTTTCTTGGAGCGTTGATCTGCTCTTTAATGAATAATCATAAAAGGCTATAAGAAGTTTGTGAAAATCTTATAGTCAAACTGATTAAAATTAGATAGATTTGTATATAAGATTTTATTAAAATTAGATTTAACATTAATAATATACCATACAAAGATAAAATTTGGTTTTCTCATTTGAATAAAAATTTCATGTAAGATATTTTTGTTCACTTCTTGAGGAAACTGCAGGGAAAAAATGGAGAGGTGAGAGACAGAATTAGTTGGCCTCATGCTGTCTTAAGTTTTAGGTCTTATTGCTTAAGAAACAGTCACCTCTCTATCAAAAGTTAAATGTTTTTGTTTTATTATTTTGGCTAAATAAACAAATATTTTATAGTGACCTGTGATCATATTTTTTGTTATCAAGTGTCTTAAACCTTTCATATTTGACAGAATTTCCAATAGCAAAATTTCAAGTTCTAAATTCAGTCTTTTTGACCTCATACTAACCTTTTTGGGTATTAGTTTCCCCGAAGTTCAAGAGAAACATATAAGGCTTATTAGGCTTAGTTGTTATGTTAGAATTATGAAGGAGACATTGTCAAATCTGAGGTGATGTTAAGCTTCCTTTGTTTAATATTTACAGGGATGGGTTATTAATTGAGAATTTTATGAGATTCCTAAAATTCTGATATGTCAATATGTGTTGTCAGTAATAATTATGATTATTATGTCAGTAATAATTATGATTATTAAATTGTTGTATGCCACAGAAATAACCAAATTTCTTTATCTACTGTGTCTTTATGGCTGTCTTAAGGCTTGTGTCATCTACAATTATTATTTTGCTTTGATCCTTCTCAAAAAGTCACTTATAATCAGCTACAGTCCAGGGCTTGCTTCTTTGGTGGAGTTTGTGAAAAGAACTTTTGAAGGCAGGTTACTGATAACTTTGGAGATTGTGCCATTGGGTTAGAGAGGAAAATTCCAGGGTACTAATTTAAAGGCTGATATGTTCATAGAGATTGTTAACCCAATATGAAGCAGGGCAAGAACTGATTGCATGGACTAAACTAATGAAGGACTGAAATAATTTTTGTGGCTTTTATCTTTGAAATATTGCTGATTTTTTTGTTTTGTTCTTCAGAGTCTGGATAACTTTTTAGAGCTATTTATAACCTATAAAGTTATGCTTTGAGTTTATTAAGTAGATAATACTTTTGTAAACAGAATTTGAGGCATATTTTTTCCTTGCCTAATTTCTCCAGAACAATATTCTTAATTGATGGTGATGTGTTTGTTTGCATACATTTAATAACAACATGTTTTCTTGTACAATGGGGACACAATTGGAGGAAGTGGTTATTTTCTCAGGGCTTTGACTGAAATGGCCTTGTGAAAGGTTCCAGGCAAGCCAATGTAGGACCTATATAAAAAATGATTCTTGTTGCACTTTGGGTGGTTAGTCAGGCTAAGCACATGGGCCTGAAGCTTATTTTGAAAGTAGATTTGTCCTGCTATGACTTGCCTTTGTTAGAAGTTGGGGGCTGAGGAGAGAAATACTGTGTTTCAGAAGAAAATGACACTATTAGATTAGCCTTTGATTTCTGGGTGACCATGAAATCACCTATAGTATAACGCTGCCCATGATGCCCCTCCTCAGCATTAAGCAGCCAGAAAGATTGACAACCAAATTCCCCATGATTGAGGAATTGATAATTAGAAAGGGGGGACTGAAACCAAACAAATAGTCTCATAGATCACTTTTTTTGATAAACATAGAAATTTATCCTTCTGGTCTTAAAGCTTGAAACTTACATGTTTTATGTGAGTTCCTTCCTCAGGAAACCACTTGCAGCCTCTCAAAAAAGTATTAAAGAAATGAAACACACCAGATCACCATATCCAGACAATGAGATGCTAGACCCCTCATTCATCGTGATTGCTTTCTTGCCCCTCCCTAGTTCCTAGTTCCTAATTTTTTAGACATTGTTACATTTTTTCCCTGCTATATATGTCCATAATTTTAGTTGGTCGGTAAAATGGATTTCAGACTGATCTCCCATCACCTCAGCTGCAGCACCCAATTAAAGCCTTCTTCCTTGGCAATAATTGATCTGTCAGTGATTGGCTCTCTGTGTGGTGAGCAGCAGGACCTAGACTGAAAACTTGGTGTTTTGGTAACACTCTTATAATTGAAAAAGATCCTCAAAACAATCTAATTTGATTCTTATTTTACAAAAGAGAATTTTAAAATGGAAAAATTTAGCTCACTGAATCAAGATTATAAAATTAATTAATGATGGCAGATAAATACAAGGCTTCTGAATTCAAAATCTGCTTTCCATTTCTCCCTACATCCTAGAACAACAAATGTGTAAAATAAATTGGAGAATTTTTACTTATCTATGTGTGAATATAAAACACTTTTTTTTTGTAATAAAGGGTGTTACCTTACAGGAAGTCATAAATAATTTCAAGTCTGAGGTTCAGACTATGAATCACAATTTTGAATTATTAATACCATGAATAAAACTTCATCTATAACATTTGTTGTAAGAATAACACAAAATATGAATAAAGAAGAGCTTTGGAAAAATAGACTTAAGATACTTTAAGTTTGGAAATGGTATAATTAAAAAAATAAAAAAGACAACTTTTTGATATGACAATAGTAATTAATAGTAATGAGATAATGTTCCTGGCTTATAGATGATGGTATTATCTTATTATTTTCTATTAAATACGTCAATATGTGCTACAAGAAGTCTATTTGTAATTCTGCATTTCTAGCTTGTTTCTAAGATGAAGGTTACAGATATTTATATTGCTTTTTCTGGTAGATATCAGACAGATAAATTACTGCTTTTGTTTTCCTTTGTCTTCCACCAATATTGTGCTAGAAAATCTATATTTACAGTTCAATGTTCATAGATTCTATTCTCTTATTTTGGAAGTACATATAGAAATCTACAGGAACAAAAACTTCAGACTGAAAACCAACATAGGAGGAAGGAAAAACTTTTCAGAAGAAGTTACAGGGACAGAGATTTCAGATCCAAGATGTATTTACATATAAATACCAAAGAACATTAACAGACAGAGGAAAACTCACATATCAATTTACAGAGCATTGAAGAAAAGAAATGTATGTTTTGTGGAACTAAAGAGAAGGGTATAAACGAAGCGGTAGTAGGAGTTAAGGCTACAGAGGTGGGATTCATGGGCTATACCTGTTGATAGAAATTTCATCTTGACAATGAGGCTCAGTTGGTAGAGTTTAAGTTTAAGTTTGGTCAGAGTGACTGCAAGATGGGAGATGCCTTAAACCTCTTATTGGATATAAAGTCAATGTGAAGTTTGACAGGAGTACTGTTGAAGTGAATGTCAGGCAGGTAGGAAATAAACTCTTCCAAGTGTGACTTTTCACTATGTAGATGGCAATAGGATATGAGGTTAGAAAGAAGAAAAGTTATTGGGAAGAGACCTATCATCTGTTGATGACAGCAAGGAGGGGTGATGGGCATTATAATTATTTTTTGACATAAGATTAAAAGGAAAACAAACTATTAAGGAGGAGGAAATCTAGCTTAAAAATATAAATGAGAATCTAATACTCCACCAACCTTATCTCTGTGATTAATGATAATCATACACCCTGCAAAGTTTAGTTACAGTCTTTCTGTCAAGCTTGCTGGACCTGGTGTAATATTGAGTTATCTGATTCTTGAGATTTCCTTTTTTGTTGTTATTGTTTTTTGAACTAATGTTGGTAAATTGTATCTTTTAAAAGAATCATCCATTTCTGTTTTCAAATTTTGCATACCTTTAAGCAAAGTTGTCTCCTATGAATCTTACTTTTTTCTATTTCTATGTAGTTTCCTCATTAGATTTTATTGTGTAGTTTTACTCGTTCTTTTTTTCTTGATTAGGTTAGATAGTATTTTATCCAATTAATTACATCTTTATTTTTGTTGTGTCTTTCCAGAGAACCAAATTCAGACCCACTTATTTGTTTTATACATGTTTATAATACATTCATGTCTGATATTATACTTATTAATTATTTTGGGGATTTCTTGTGTTTTTATTTGTTTCTTTTATGAAGTATTATGACAACTATACCTAATCTTGATAGGATTTCTCAAAAAGAAAAGTACAGACTAATTTTATTAAATAAAATATCAACAAGCATATAATATCAGCTTATTTCAAGAGAAAAAAACATTATGTCCTAATATAATCTATACCATGGATGCAAAATAGATCCATCTAAACCATGGATGCAAAACAGGAGCTATGGTAAGATCAGTCACTATATCATCAACTCAAGAAGAAAAGTCATTACTGTCCTCATATATGATAGCTATTTATTTTATCTGAGAAAAGCACCATTACTATTTTAAAAAATCAATAAAATAGAAATAGATGAGTATTTTCTTAATGTATTATTAATAGTTTTTAAAACCGTAGACCAAACTAATGGGGTAACACTGAGGCAGTCTCATACAAGTCACAAATGAGATAAGCATTTTTATTGAAAGTATACTAGGAAATGAAAGTAAAGAAAGAAAATGGAGGCCAGGCATTGTGGCTGATGCCAGTAATCACAGCACTTTGGGAGGCCGAAGTGGGAGGATCAGTAGAGGCCAAGAGTTTGAGATGAGCCTGGGCAACATAGCAAAATTCTGATTCTACAAATTTGTTTTTAATTAGCTAGGACTGGTGGCCTGAACCTGTAGTCCCCACTACTAGGAAGGCTGAGGTGGGCGGATTGCATGAGCCCAGAGTTTGAGGCTTCAGTTAGCTGGCATTATGCCACTATACTCTAGCCTGAGAGACAGAGTTAGACTTTGGCTAGGGGGGAAAAAAGCCTATTTGCAATTAAAACAAAAGATGTAGAAACAGATCAAGCAAGAAATGTACAGAACTTACATAAAAAGAGAAAAAGCCTGCTAAAAATACAAAAAAATGCATGGACAAATGCAAAAATGCAAATGCAAAATGTTCTTGGATAGAAAGATTCAACATCAAACACATATAATATATCCCTAAGTAATTTATAAATCTCCTGTGTTCCTAATAAAAACACAGTTAACAAAAACAACAAAAACACGGAACTAGCTTATTTAAAGTCAAAGAGAAAACTTAACAGAAGGAGAAGGAACATTTTGGAGGGAAAACAGCATTGAGGTAAGTTAGTAGCACCAGAGGATAGAGCATACTATGTAACCTTAATCATTAAAATTGTGTGGTAATAGCTCATAAAATATAAATAATAGAATTGAATAGAACATTTAGATCAAAATCAAAATACATCAGAAAATATACAATATAATAAATGCAACATCTCAAATTTGTGAGGAAAAGATGAACTATCCAATGTTGTTCATCTTTGGATGAATATCACCATATATTTTGTGGGGACCACAGAGTATTTGACTGGAAAAAAACTATGACTGCATTAATATCTCCTACTGTGTACTAGGATACACCCCAAATACAATAAGGATTTAAATATACAATATGAATTCACATAAACACTAGTAGAAAATGCAGAATAATTGCAATCTGGGCTTAATATACCAATATAAAAAACTGATACACTTGCACACATTCAAACTGATACATGTTGAGTGTTAAATATTTCTCCATTGTCAGTAAAATAGGATAAATTGAAAAATTTATCAATAATAGATTTCCTCCACAGTTTTATATTTATTAAGGAATACAAGTTTATCAATAATAGACTTCTTCCATAGTTTTATACTTATTAAGGAATAGTACATAACTGTGAAAAAAAATAATTTGAAGGATTTATCTAGTATTTACATGGAGAGGATCCCAGGATACATTCATTGTGAATGGAAAAAAAAAAAAACCCAGCAAAATGAAGGAGTATATTAATATTTATTCATATTTTCTTGGAATGATACTGAAAATCTGGAAATAATAAATTAACAAAAGGGATTTCTCAGGTGGGAGACTAGACAGATGCAATTGTAATAGCAGGAAATCTTTTAGCTCACTCTGTGCGTGCGTGTGTGTGTGTGTGTGTGTCTGTGTGCGTGTCTTTGTGTGTATATACATATTTAAATATATATATTATTTTACATAACTAATAATTACCCATACACTCAGAAGTTACTTTGAAACCCTGACACATTACATGCCACTGACACATATGTTAATTTCTTTGAAGACAAGAGCCTTTCTCTGTCTGCAGCCTTACTTTTCCATAATAAATTTGAAATATGCCTCTGATACTGTCCTTTTCCCACAATTTAACCAAATCAGTCTATGCATGCTGTTCCTGAGACTCTGATCTCTCTGCTTTTCGGATCTAATTTAGATGTTTATAGGATAAAAGAACGCTTGCCGCGGCTCTTAAATTTAATTACAGGGTTAAATGGGCCCGATGAAAAGACTGCATTGGTTCTAATGTAAATTACCTTCTCTCTGCAGGAGGAGCATTATCCGCTGCTTGGACGGTGAGTGCGTACGTCCGCCCGACTATCATTTCCACCCCCGGAGCGATGGTGATAAGCCCTGTTGTTTTATTGATGATGAAGTCTCCCTGAGCCCCAACAAGGATTTCATATGTGATCTCTCCATTTGACCCTTCGTCTGCGTCGACTGCAGTGAGCTGGAATTGAAAATCACAACATAAATCCACTTAGGACGCAACTTTTCACCACCATGTCATTTATTCCCCCAACAAAAGGAGCTGGCTTTCAAAGAAAAAAACAGAGGGAAGTTTGCTTGATATATATACTCTTGTGTGTTTGTGTTTTGTTTTGTTTTGTTTTGTTTTGTTTTAAACTGAGGCTACTGTGTCCTGTTACAATACTGAAGCAATCACAAGAATAAGAGAATGCTGAAGCAATCACAAGAATAAGAGTGAATTTTTTTTTTTATCTGTTAGAGTGATAAGAAATAAACTTTGGATCTTGAAGGCTTATCTTTATTTTAATTTAACAAAGGGAAAAAGAGGAAAGCCCTAACAGAAAATCAAATATCCCTATAGGAAATTTATTTTTTTCCATCTTACCTTGCGTTCTTGACACATAAACTTATTAAAACAGACTGAACCTGGAAAAAATGAAATAGGTATAGTCTGCTTTTCTTTCTCCCAACCTTCCTTTTACTCTCATTTTTCCTTCCATAGTGTTCTCCTCCTCATAAAGTCTCCTCCCAGAGACTCTCGTCTTTGTGTCCTTTTTGTTTGCAATTGCTCTAGGAAAGATTCTTAACTTGCACCCCCTGATTTCTAAAGGACTGATAAGTCATAGAGTATTAACGTGTCAACAATCAAACAAATGCATCTCCCATTATAAGAATATCAAGGGTAACATAGCCCAAGGAATGTTTCTTTGAGGAAAGGAAGTCTATTCGGAGCCCTTAAAATTAAGCATGTAGACATCTGTATAACTAATTTACATGTATCTATAATCATTTTGAAGCAACTAGTATCTAAAAGACTTTATTTGGGTTATTATATATGAAAAGATAACAATGATTAACTTCATCAAGCAACATTAAAGCAACGGTGATTTATTATATTAAAGGTGGCTCCTTGACTTGCTGGTAAATATAAATTAAAAGAGAAAAAGGATACAAAGGGATTATAGCGGGAAATCTTATAGTAAGTATTTTACATACATCAACAGTATTTTCTGTATTTATCATAGAAAACGTGAAGAATGAAAGAAAGGTGGTCTCAATTTACACGAGTGAATATAATTAAAAGTTTTCTGTGGAATAAAGAAAATAGACGTAATTGTAGTAAATTAACATGTAGATATGTTTCATTTATTTATATTTATATTTTCAGTACATTACTTCTAAAAGTAGTAGTTTTTATAGTTTGCAGACTCCTTTGAAAATACGGTGAAGATGCTGACATACCTTCCTTGATCAAATGTAAACATGCACATTTACCTTGAAACTGGAATTCAATTTCAGGAACACCATGTTAATTAATTTCCCATTCAAAAGTTCATGCTTAATATTCTCAATAAATGTAAACAAAGTACTTTATACACTGCACTATGCTGAAGGGGTTATATTATGCATATTCTATTTTTTATTATGTGTCACGCTTAGAGTGATAATGTCCACATAAATAGCAGCAAAACATAATTGAGAATGAAAAAGGAAATGGCATTAATGTAACTAAGTCCTGAGGCTGGGTATTTGGGGGTGGACAGATGTGGTTGCCAGAAGGAAAGGCATTTTATGACATGATTCTGGGACTTGTATAAGCCTGACAGACATACTCCTAAAGGCAAAGGAGAAACATTTGCAGAAACAGTCAAAATGAATGGCATATATTTATAGAGAGCTATTCAAGTCAGACAAACTAATTCTCTTTTGTGTATGGATAAAATTAGAAAATTAGAGGATGGGGATAACAGAGGAGATATCAATTTTGATTATACTTAAATCACTTAAAATGTCTCAGGAAATCTTAATTAAAATTTAGCTCAAATTGGATTCAATATTAACATTCTTCCTGGGACTTAAATTGGCTAAAGGAATGTAATGATAAATGGCAATGCATCAAGTTAAGAAAAGGTGTTAAGGAGTGTGCTTCAGGGATGTCAGCATTATAGCTGGACTTATTTAACATTTTCATAAATGATGTTGGAAAGGAGGATAAGCTGGATGATAATTACATTCAGGAAGGTACCCACCTGGGAGATGCTAGAAATACCAAGTAGTACTACAAAATACAGGAGACAGAAACAGCCCCTACGTTGCAGAGCTAGTCAACCACAGTTGAGCTAAGCTGTTCAAGGAACACAACTAGCTCTGCAGAAATTATTAGGAGGTAGAAAGTTTAACAAGTAGACAAAACAAGGATTCTATGTTTAAGTTACCTAAATAACACTATTTTTCAGTATTTTAGTACTAAATAAAATAATGGGTTATGAATCAACGTAATTTGCACGTATGCTAACAAAGATATTTTAAGGAAATTAATGGTAGTCCACCATCAGAAAAAATGAACTGAGTACCCAAATCATAATAGTGTCTTCTTTGTAAGATCCTGAAAACTCAAGACCTTTTGAAGCATTTTACATACATCAACAGTATTTTCTGTATTTATCATACAAAATGGAGTATATCATACAAAATGTTGAAACCTCAACATTGGCAGGAGAATCGCTTGAACTTGAGAGGTGGAGGTTGCAGTGAGCTGAGATCGTGCCACTGCACTCCAGCCTGGCGACAGAGTGAGACTCTTAAAAAAAAAAATCCAAAACCTCAACGATATTACACAGTAGATGTCCCCTTCTGAAGTCTATTAGACGATGTTGAATGAGGCTGTCGATACTAATTTTGGAGTTAAGCTATGGCAGGAATTTAATTCAATTATAGTTCAATGACTCTGTGACCAGTAGATAGTGTCTATGAGATGGAAATAAATGAAGCTCATTTCTAATTTAGTGGGGAAATCTGCGTCCTAAATGAAAAGGGCATTTATTTACATGGGGAAGCCAACGTTTTGCTTACAAGTTTCAGATGATAGTAAAAACAATTCTATGACTTTAAAGTGTTTATTGAAATATTGTGATATCTAAATGGTGAGAAATTGTGAGTTTTTTTTTTTTATTTCTTTTCCATGATGTTTTATAGCTCTTTTCAGGAACTTTAGCCCTACCCTTTCATAATTCCTTCCTCTCAGTGTTTCAACATGTGCATATTCCAAATGTCTTCATATGTATCAGTCTGTTTTCATGCTGCTAATAAAGACATACCTGACACAGGGCAATTTACAAAGGGAAGGTTTATTGGAATTCCACGTGGGTGAGGAAGCCTCACAATCATGGCAGAAAGTGAAAGGTGCATCTTACGTGGCGGCAGACAAGAGAAGAGAGCTTGTGCAGGGAAGCTCCCCTTTTTAAAACCATCAGATCTCGTGAGACTTATTCACTATCAAAAGAACAGCACAGGAAAGACTTGCCCCAATGGTTCAATTACCTCCCACTGGGTCCCTCCCACAATACGTGGGAATTCAAGATGAGATTTGAGTGGGAATACATCCAAACCATATCATTCCAACCCTGGCCCCTCCCAAATCTAATGTCCTCACATTTCAAAACCAATCATGCTTTCTCAACAGTCCTCCAAAGCCTTAACTCATTTCAGCATTAACTCAAAAGTCCACAGTAAAAAGTCCCTTCCACCTAAGAGCCTGTCAAATCAAAAGCAAGTTAGTTACTTCCTACATACAATGGGGATACAGGCATTGGGTAAATACAGCCTTTCCAAATGGGAGGAATTGGCCAAAACAAAGGGACTACAGGCCCCAAGCAAGTCCGAAATCCAGTGAGGCAGTCAAATCTTAAATTGACTCCTTTGACTTCATGTCTCACATCCAGATCATGCCAATGGAAGAGGTGGGTTTCCATTGTCATGGGCAGCTCTGTCCCTTTGGCTTTGCAGTGGACAGCCTCCCTCCCAACTGTGTTTATCGGCTGGCATTGAGTATCTGCAGCTTTTGCAGGTGTACAGTACAAGCTCTAGTTGGATCTAGCATTCTGGGCTCTGGAGAACAGTGGCAGTTCTCTCACAGCTCCACTGGTCAGTGCCCCAGTAGGGACTCTGTGTGAGGGCTCCGACCCCGCTTTTCCCTTCTGCACTGCCCTAGCAGAGGTTCTCCAGGAGGGCCTTACCCCTCAGCAGACTTTTGCCTGGGCAACCAGGTGTTTCCATATGTCCTTTTAAATCTAGGCAGAGGTTTCCAAACCTCAATTCTTGACTTCCGTGCACCTGCAGGCTCAATACCATGTGGAAGCTGCTGAGACTTGGAGCTAGCAACCTCTGAAGCCACAGCCTGAGCTCTATGTTGGACCCTTTCAGCCACGGCTGGAGTGTCTGGGACACAGGGCACCAAGTCCCTAGGCTACACACAGAACAGGGACCCCGGGCCTGCCCATGAAACCATTTTTTCCTCATAGGTTTCTGGGCCTGTGATGGGAGAGGCTGCTGTGAAGACCTCTGACATGCCCTGGAGATATTTTTCTCCATTGTCTTGGGGATTAACATTCGGCTTCTTGTTACTTATGCAAATTTTTGTAGTTGGCTTTAATTTCTCCTTAGAAAATGGGATTTTATTTTATATTGTGTTGTCAGGCTGTAAATTTTCCAAACTTTTATGTTCTGTTTCCATTATAAAACTGAATGCACTTAACAGCATCCAAGACACCTCCTGAATGTTTTGCTGCTAAGAAATTTATTTTGCCAGATACCCTAAATCATCTCTCTCAAGTTCAAAGTTCCACAAATCTTTAGGGCAGGGGCAAAATGCCACCAATGTCTTTGCTAAAACATAATAAGATTCTCCTTTGCTCCAGTTCCCAAGAAGTTCCTCATCTCCCTCTGAGACCACCTCAGACTGGACTTTATTGTCCATACTGCTATCGGTATTTTGGACAAAGCCATTTGACAAGTCTCTAGGAAGTTCCAAATTTTCCCACATCTTCTTGCCTTTTCTGACACTCCAAATTGTTCCAACCTCTGCCTGTTACCCAGTTCTAAAATTGCTTCCACATTTTCAGGTATGTTTTCAGCATCGCCCCACTCTACTGTATCAGTTAATTTTCACGTTGCTGATATAGACATACCTGAGACTGGGCAATTTACAAAAGAAACAGGTATTGGAATTACAGTTCTATATGGCGGGGAGGTCTCACAATGATTGCAGAAGGTGGTAGTGGATAAGACAGGAGATCTTGTGCAGGGAAACTTCCATTTTTAAAACTATCAGATCATGGGAGACTTATTCACTATCATGAGAACAGCAAGGGAAAATCTTGCCCCCATGATTCAATTACTTCCCACATGGTCCCTCCCACAACATGTGGGAATTCAAGATGAGATTTGGGTGGGGACACAGGCAAACCATATCACCATCAATCACCCATGCTGCCACAAAATAATCTAAGTTTCT